GAGCGGTTTGCTCAGCCTGGCCAACAGCATGGCCTTCAGCTCATGGGCAGGTGCTTCATCCTAGAGAAGTTGTTCCAGCTTTTAGGCACCCAGATGTGGCCATGCTGATTCAGCACAGGGATGAGGACACTGTGTTTGGCATCAAGACCCAAAGGCTGGACTGAACGTACCACCTGGATCTGCGCTATTATCTCCAGGCCCAACACAGGAGGTCCTTTGTAGTGGGAGCCGGTTGGAGTATCACTACTCACAGGCTGGTGGTGGCACGCCCACGCACACAGCACTGTCTTGCCTCCAGGGCCTGACAGATGACAGAGGGGGGTGAGCCCTGACTCTCCTAGGGGTGGTGGAGTTTCTCCTCCAGCTCCCATGGCATTTACATCCCAAGGGCTGGACCTTTTCCTTTCCCTGGCCACTCCCAGACCAACAGAATCTTCTCCTCTGGGCCCCAGAACACGTGCTCCATCTCACCCACACAGATACATGTGTTCAGTATGTTCGAGGGGGCAGGCACTTCTAGGGGTGATATGGGCGTACACTGAGCCCAGCACGGCTCCCCACGCTTGCCTGGGCTCAAACTCAGGTCCCTTGCTGGAGGAAGGACCTCACAGTACTTGCTCTTCCCTTGCTGGGGCTTTGGGGGAAAGCTTGACGAGGAGGAGGAAGAGTAGAGTTTGCATGGGCGGAAGAGCAAGTTGCTTGGGTTTCAGGCTGCACAACCCCTCACATGGACCTCCTGCTACCTCCCCTGGGTCGAGCCCTGCCTCTGGCTGGAGGAAGAAGGGTAAACTGGAGAACATCATGCAAAAACACAAACCGCCCCATGGACCAAAAGGCTGACATCCTTTCCAACAGCCCCCTAGTGATGACCCAGTAATGCTTTCCACAGCTCATGCTGCAGAACTCATGACTAATCCCTCCTCACCACAAGCCCATGAGGCAGACAACGGGTGAAAAGGCTCGATTAAGATGGTGATCCTGGGATCCAGCCTAGAAATTGCAGGTCCCTGGGGTCCTTAGGAACCACTTCCCTCAACCAAGACTTCCTTGCAAGTTTGAGCAGGTTTTGATGACTTTTGGTAGGTAAGGAGTTGACAGCATCTTTAAGTATCTTCAGGGAGGTTTATTAGGGACAGGTCAAACCAAAATGCCAGCTTCAGCTCAGGCTAAAAAGATCACATCCAGAGCTGAGAAGCAGTTCCCGTCCTACATGTGCTCCTCTCCCCACACGCAGGGAGAAGCAGATCTCCTAGACACAGAGGGACAGGACATCTTCCAAAAGCAAATGGATGCCTCCTGCTGAGCCTCCCTTTTTTTGGCACAAAAAGTGGCCAGTTTGTTAGCTCTAGATCTTGTGCACCATGGAACATGACAGTTCATCAGCTCCAGGTCTCTCCTGGAGCTGAGGCCATGTCACACAAGTCCTGCTGTATCATGGCAGCACGTTTTCACTTGGGTTTTCTCAGTGTTTGCCCTGTGCCTTCAGAATGTTTATTCAGGCTGTCAAAGCATCATCAGAACAGACTTTGCCCCACAAAATGCCTCGACTGGGCTTCAAACCAGAGAAGCAATTACGAGCCTGGGCAGAGGGGAAGGCAGTGCGAGGAGCTCAGCTCCCTCCAGGCTTTTCCCTGCAAGCTGGAGCCTCCCCGGAGGGAAGTCCCAGGTTTGCTTGGACCTTGTGCGTCCCCCAAAAAGCGCCACCATCATTCCTGGTCTGGCTGTTCACAGCAACCTAGAGTCCCCCCGATGGGAGCCCTCTTAATTTGCCATCCCCGACTTTGGCCATGATTGCCGTCCGAGCTGCCGCATCTCAGCCTGCTAACCATGATGGACATGCTCAGGAAGAAACCACAGTCCATTTAAATGAAAGTGGGGACAGAGGAAGGATGGGTGTCTGATATTTAGGGGCAAATGCTCAAATTCAGAGGAGCTCCCACCCAGTCTTACCCTCCCCAAGGAGATGTGCAAATGGTGGAGGAGAGAGGCGGTGGAAAGAAAGGCTGTTCAGAAGCACCAGAAGGGCAGACCCTTGCCCACCTCTCCTCATGGGGATGTGCCTGAGGCTCACCTTGCTGGTGGCAGTGGCGGTGGAGCCAGGCAGCACCGGTGTGTTGGTGACCTGGACGTTCAGGTAGTTATTGTCTATGAGCGGCCAAGCCCCTTGCACCTTGCAGGTTTGGAAAGTGTCTGTGAAAGTCCTGAGGTGGGGGTCCCCGAAGAGCCCGCAGTGGGTATAGTTGGGGGCAGCCGAGTGTTTGTGAAAGCTCTTCTCATAGTGGCAGATTTCGGGGCTGTCGGAGCGCTCCTGGCTATCCCCGGGGGGCAAAGTCCGGAGGCGGGGCTGGGAGGTGGGGCCATCCTTGGAGCAGTTGTGTTGCACCATGAGATCGTCTATGCCATGCACGGCGGAGTGGTAGGCCAGGTCGCCCCTGCAGGTGCGGGCGGTGCGGCGGGTGCAGTGCGCGTAGGCGCGCAGCGCCGTGCAAAATTCGGGCGCCTCCTCCGTGCCCAGGTGGTGGGAGCCCGACGTGGCTGCCCAGAACTCAGAGTTGCACTTGAGGATCTTGCATGGAGATGTCACTGCGGGAGGGGAGGTAAACACAAAGTGGTCAATGCTCGTGTGCCTCTGTGTGGGACATCCAACTCTACCCCCACCAAGAGGTTGGTGTCCTCCTCCTGCGGCCCAAACTCATGACACTGGCTCTGCCACGTGATGGGGCCTCAGACATGACCCTCTCACATGACCCAACTTTCATGCATCAAAGCCAAAGAAACAAACAGGATCTGCCCCAATTTAAGCCAAGATAAGAGCATCCAGCCTTTAGATGAATGCTCCTGGAGGGGAAAACCCGGGTGGGGAAGAATGGGATGTATTCATTAGCAGGGATAAGGCAGGATCATTAATGTGGGGGGAGATGCAATGGGGTTTTTAACATCTTTTTAGGTTTGATATTCAAAGCTCTGCGCTGCACGAATTCCTGTGTGCTGTGTCCAGACGGAGTTCTACCAGGGCAAAAATCTGCCTGCCTTCCTTCCTTCCTTCTCCTCCTTTATGGGTATGCGGAAACCCAGCCCTGGCGTGACTGCCGTGCCCCAGACACATGTGCGGAGGTTCAGGCAGGATCTGTGCCGTGCCCAGCCCTGCAGAGCAGAGCCCGTGGCCACCCCACCATCCTCGGGGCCACAGCGGTGCCGGGAGCAGCGCTTGCCCATGTCCCCATGCCCCCGGAAAGAAGCAGGAGCTGAAAAAAACTCTTTCTTGCCTGCCGTGCGCCTCTGCCCAGCCCCGGGAGCCCGTTCCTGGACACGGCTCGCTGAGAGAGAACAAGAGGTGGAGGAGAAAAACCGGCACAGCAGGGTGTGGGGGTGCCAGCCGAGCCCCGGCTTCCCCT